TAAAAAAATTTAGTAAGAGAATATTTTAAATACGCCACAACCCATTATTTTTCTTATAACTTAAGCTCAAACATTCACATCCCATTGTTTATTAACAAAGCCCAGACAAAACCAAACAATAAATTCTTTTTCGGGCCACAAATGGGTCAAATAAAGTTGATTTGGTTTGAATCTAAGTAGTATCAAGGCTGATGTTTTTTTTATTGGGCCAAATTAAACATAATCCAAATGCATGGACCAATATAGCACGGTCAAAGCTTCATCCACCACACAAATGTAGAACATTCAACAAAGTGGTAGAGACAGATATTTAATGCCTAAAAACCCTACCACCTGCAATATTTTCATCATTTTTTCTTCATTTTTAATCTTTTTTTTATTTATCGGAGACAAATACTTGGATCGATTTTGATTTTGTTTACCCGTTGTAGACATGCTTTTAATTTATAGATGCCTTACATCATGAAAAACAAATTTCAGCCCAGTAGTTACTTCTTTGTTTGTCGAAAATTTCTTTGACTAAAATCGAATCAATCGCAATATTGTAGTTTTTTTCTTGTTCTTAGCTAAGAAAATCATAATATCAAATTGCACTGCCATTTGGAACTCAAAAGAAATATGTTGTGTCGAAATAGTTTTTTCGGTGACTGTGATTATGAGTGTGGAATGCAAAGTGAAAATGTGTCTGATTTTTATTTTATTTATAAGCACCTACATAAGTCTATTAACTAATTAGTGTAAATACCAACAAATCAAGAGCATGATTAGTTGAAAATATTTTGATAACTGGAAAAAATATGAACTATATAATAGTGGCGCTTTTGATATGATTTTTGAAACTGGAATTTATGTTCCGCCAACTAAAGATTTTATTTTTAGAGTCAAAATTTATGTTTTTGTTTGTATTTATTAATTAGACATGTGCTTCTATCATATAAAAATTATTATATTTTCTTAAGTTATTTTTATCATTCAAAATCGATTGAGATTTAAACTGTATTTTAACCATGCAACGTTTATATTAGTAACATGAATAAAATAATTTATATATTTGTAGCATATATTAAGAAAATTAACATAAATAAAAAAAATTATTGGTGTTTCTGATTTTTAGAAAAAAAAAAATATATGTGCCAATCATGCACAGATGTACATATAATATTATAAGTAATATTTGAGAATTTAATATTAAAATTTTAGATAATGAACATACTACATTTTCAAAATTTTGATCATTAGAAAAAAAAATAACGATTTTATTATTATGAAAAATTGTATATTACCATTAGATACTAACTGCTTAATTATTATTATTATTATTATTATTATTATTATTATTATTATTATTATTAAAACAATATCTTATAAGATTCTAAAGTTGTCTGACTATGCTATTAAAATAATTTACTAATTGTTTTTAAAGAAATTTTTTCATGAGATACAAAAAAAAAAAAAGATAATATT